ACAGGTTCAAGCCCAATTCAGATGCCAAGTCATTGGTGTGAAAGTCCAAGTCAAGTCACAAGTCTCTGAACATTGTTTCAAGTCAAGTCTGAAGTCAAAATATTAATGACTCAAGTCTGACTCAAGTCCTCACCTCTGGAGCATACATGAAAAAGGCTAWAACTCAGTCAGTTCTACAGGTACTGTGCTAATGTTTTGTGTGATAGTAGCTAATTGTGAGTTTTTTTGTTTAAAATGTTGCCATTATCCATCGGAGTCAAATGTGAACCAATGGACAATTTTTAATGAAAGTGTCGTCAAGACATACATCTACAGCAGTGGTGTCCAAAGTCAGTCCTAAAGGGCTGGTGTCCTGCATGTTTTAGGTGCTGCCCTGGTTCAACACAGCTGAACCTAACGTAGTGCTTAATTAGTAGGCCTCCTCAGWATGCCATCAAGGTCTGCAGAGGCCAAATTAAGCACTCCTTAGGTTCAGCTGTGTTGAAACAAGGCAGCTTCTAAAACATGCAGGAAACCGGCCCTTGAGGACTGACTTTGGACACCAATGATCTACAGAAAACACTGAATGCAGTCGCATTTAACCCACATTTTCTCAACTACACATTTTTTTTTCTTTAGAGCATTTTTGTTTGAAGGTTACCTGGATGCAAGTGTTGGAGACACAAAACTGCACAAAACGCTCCAGCTCTCTGGAACAACAGAATCTAAACAGTAATGGGGTCCAGATGCCTGCGACGACACTGTGACGATTTAAAAGAAGAGAATCTTAGACGCTCAAATTTTTTCGAACGYGTTTAAAGTCGTTTCAACTTGAAGATAACAAATCACAAACATTACAACATACAGTATTTTGGAAGCTCTCTCGATTCCAGTTGTGCAGTTTGTCGCAAACAGCTGCAGCTTGTGCTTTTTGGCCACTACCATCTAAATCTGGGGTGTCCAATCCCTGGTCCTCAGGGGGCCACTGTCCTTTGTGTTTTCAGAGGTTTCTCTTTTCTAACACACCTGATTTAAATGAGTGTGTGATTGCCAAGCTACTGCAGATCTTAAAGAGGTAATTCAATCAGTGAATCAGGTGTGTTGGAGCAGGGATAAATAAATAGGAAGGCCATCGAGGACTCCTGATTTAAATGCACAGCAGAGGTTTGTCTGATTACCCAATATACTTGTGGTAGGCAGTTTGTGTCTGCAATTTATTGCAATCCTTAGCAGTATTGATAATGCCTTATAGGTATTACAATGACAATAAGCTTTTAATTTATTGCTCAGTGTTAGTTTACCTTTGCGTTATGTGTTGCACGTCAATTTAGTTCCTCAACACAACTCATTATGATCAGAAACAGGTTCATGAACAGTAAGATCTAACAGATTGCCTCTTCTTGGAAACAGAAACAGAAAGACTAATGTTCAATCTGGGAACCCCTCTCCTTGTTTATTATGAACCAACCTGATAGATAAAGCTTATCAGTCAGGTTTTATGACTCTGTGCACCGTAAAGCAACAAAACAGTCTGTGACACGAAAAAAAAAAAATCAGAGCTTGTCTTTTCCCTCGCTGTGACTCACTGAACACATTGGGCCTCATGCAAGAACCGTTCGTACGCACAGATTTGTTCTTAAGTTGTGCGTACGAGTGATTTAGGAGAATTTGTGGCATTC